TGTAAAAAATACAAGAAACAAATACCTAAATCTGGTCTGGAGTGCTAATAAAAAATGTCGGGAAGACAATTTTACATGTAATCTCGTTCTCTGCCTCTAACCTTAAAACCAACTTTAACATTAATCTTTATTACTGTAGAATTTTCCGAAAACAAACTAACCATATTGGAATTTTATATATATTTGAGGTTACACTACATATTATGCTCATTATTTTGGCATTTCTGCTTATCGTTATCCCTAAGAAGATCTCGAAATAGAACAGTACGTACATACATATTTATTCTAAAGTGTAAAAGCTTTAGTTTCCGTATATATAGATGGTGGGTATTTTTACTCTTCTTCATTTCGTGCGTCTTGTGGGCGTACGTATCATTTTTCATGCATCAATCGTTTGACAAACACATGCGAACGACGACGACTTCCACTCCACCACATATAAATCTTCGTTTTTGACATAAATCACTGCTATCATCACTATTCAACTCAAAGATGGCATTTATTATTCATCATGATTGTAGTGAATGTTCAGTTCACAATATTCATGATTATAGTAAGAACTGTTTCGATTGTCAAGAATGGAAATACTGCGATGAGTGTTCAGTTCACAATACTCACGATTGTAGTAAATGTGCCAATTGTCAAAAAAACGAGCACTGTTGGAAATGTTTTCGTTATCACAAACGAATTTATAAAGCTGAATGGTCTAGTGGAAATAAAGATACCGACAGTCTAATAAATGAATGCAATAATATTAATAAATATGATGAAGTATTTGAATGGATCCCTTTTGAAAGATTTACCAATGTTGAATATCTTGCAAAAGGTGGTTTTGGTTTAATTTATAAAGCATCCTGGTTGGACGGACCAATACAATATGGATATTGGGATCATGAAGAAAATAGATTTAAACGATATGAAAAAGGGAAGTTGTGTTGAAATCATTACACAATTCAAAGCAAATTACTCCCGAGTTTATAAACGAGGTAAAATGAACACCTTTTAAGTGTAGGCATATTGCTTTTTTGTTTTCAATCTAATTCATTTTTTCAAAATAAGATTCAGACTGCTCTAACGTGCACTGTTTGGAATGGATTAAATTATTATGGAATAACTAAAAACCCAGCTACGAATGAATACTCGATAGTGATGGAGTTTCATGATTGTAGTGAATGCACTAATTGTCAAGAATCGAACTACTGCCCTCCATGTATTGATTACCACAAACAAATTTATGTTGAATGGTCTAGTGGAAACAAAGATATCGACAGTTTAATAAATGAATGCGCGAAAATCAATGATAAATTCGAATGGATCCCTTTTGAAAGATTTACCGATGTTGAACATCTTGCAAATGGAGGTTTCGGATCAATTCATAAAGCATCCTGGTTAGATAACATGTGGAATCATGAAGAAAATAAATTCAAACAAAGTGATAAAGACAAAGAAGTTGTGTTAAAATCATTACACAATTCAAAGCAAATTACATCCGAGTTTATAAACGAGGTATGTAAAATGAACACCTTTTTTAAATATAAGCATATTTCTCAATCTAAATCTAAATTAACTTTTTCAAAATTAGGTTCTGACTGCTCTAAAGTGCACTGATAACAGTGCAATAAGGTATAAGTGCACTGATAACAGTGCAATAAAGTATCATGGAATAACTAAAAACACAGCTACAAATGAATACTTGATAGTGATGGATTATGCAAAAGATGGCGATCTACGCAAGTATATAAATTCCAACGGAGCAATGACTTGGGAACAAAAATTATATTATTTAATGAGTATTCTCTATGATCTGAAAGTAATTCACGGACAGGAATTTGTGCATCGTGACTTTCACCCTGGAAATATATTAATAAATAATGCATTTATTGGTAATAACGCTCAAATTGCTGATTTCGGACTTACCGGCCCAGCAGATATAAAAAATTCTGATCAAAAAATTTGCGGAGTACTTCCTTATATGAGTCCAGAGGTGCTAAATGGAAAACCATACACTAAAGCTGCAGATATTTATAGTTTCGGGATGATAACGTACGAGGTTGCCACAGGTGAACGACCATTTGGTGAACAAAGTCATGGTATAGATCTTGTATTAGACATCTATAACGGAGTACGACCGACGATACCAAATAATATTCCTCAAGTATTCAAGTTTATTATTGAAAAATGTTGGGATCCTATTCCAGAAAACAGACCAACTGCTGAGGAACTTTATGACCTTATCTGGTCTATCTGGTTAGAAAGTAACTGGGAACTGAATACTTTGCATTTCAGTATTACAGCTCTTTAGAAATAAGACAAATGAAGAAATTAAAGAGTTCCTTAAACTAGAAATGCAGAAATTATATGAACTTGATGAGATGAAATTAAAAAAGCGTATTCCTACGAACAAATAAAAAATCCACTCAAACGCAGTTTACACCAGTCGAATGTATAATCGGATTGGTTCTGAATACACAACACTATCGGAAGCTCAGAAATAAATCTGGATATAGAAAAATACGTAGACATAACGATAACGAAATCTTTTATTCATTACAAATGTCGCAAAAGAAAATGAGTCTATGCTACACAGTCAATAACCATCATTTAAATTACCTTTCTTCTTTTTCAACTGTTTTCCATTTTTCTAACCTTTATCACTTTCAACAACAATACGACACAAGCTTTCGCCGTACCTGAGACAAACAAGAATATGAACAGCGTGCACGAGATCGTGCTCGTCGTGAACAACAGCTAGAAGAGGAGGAAGAGCGAAAACGTAAAAGTCTAAACCTAAACCAGCTGACGATGCTTTGGATGCATGATTTGCTTACGGCGCACACAGAGAAAGTTGTGCTCGATGCTAACTTTAATAGGACCCCGTTGGTTCAAAGCACTAGTATTGCCTCGAAACAATCAGGATATTATTGTAAAGTGTGCGATTGGTGTCGATTTTTTGGATCACATTCATGGAAAATAACGTGAGTATTTGTTCTATGCATGTGAACTTATTTGATGTGGATTTGTCGTTTATGATGTTCTTAGGGAGAATAGATGACAATACTTAATTTTTTATTCCCTTTTCATAAAGATCTAAGAGCACTAGACTGAACTATGAAAGTAGAGCGTAGTACATTGGATCAAGTACAAAATCGACTGGCTCGTCTAAAAAAAATCAGAAAGAAGAGAAATCACAAGAATATGATTTCGAGGCGCGTGTCGAACAAATGCGTCAGCAAGAAGAGGAGAAACAGAAACAGAAACAAAAAGAAAAATGCAGCTGCAGACAATGAGGGTAATGAGGATGAAGGAAATGGCAAAGTTGATGGGGGGGGTAAATTAGTATATTATTATTTTTGAATATGTTATTGCTGAATAATGTTTGCTAAATTATTATCATTGTTTAAAAAAGGTTCGGAAGATTTGGAACAACAAAAGTTTGTGTTAAAAGGTTCCCTCCAACAGTATGTAATATCAGTGAAAATATTAATACTACATCGCGTCCTTTTACGATTCTTGTCATATACACGACTTTATCGAGTTACTCGAACAATTTCGATTTTTCTGTTTCTTATTCTCTCTTGAATAATATTTGATCATTAACTATAGTGGTTTATTTTTGAATAATAAAATCAAATAAATGCTGTGAAAAACTAAAAAATTTCACATCAGTGTATACATAGTATTCATGGAATAACGTTTTATTCCAAAATTTGCACTGTATGTAATTTTTTGCGGCGAACCATTAGAAATTCGATATCACATTAACATTAGTTTTTTCGGGAAGCCTACGGACAGCGCTTAATCACGTGACCTTTTCCTGCGGGTCAGTGTTCTCATTAATTCAAGAATTGTTAGAATTAATGAATTAACAAAGTAACATAATAGTGAAAGAACAAAGACTGAATGATTTATGATAATGGGGTTCACTAAAGATTCTAAAGATCATCTGTGGTAGCTTGTATGCAAACTAACTTAATATTAAAGGTAAAAATAGGAGCAAGTGGAATAATAAATAAAATAATAAGATAAATTAAAATAAATATATAATAACTATTAAAGAAATAACAGGACTTATTGAGAATGTCTAATGAAATTAAATAACAATTAGACTTATTGAGAATACCAATAAAGAATATAAAATAAAATAACTAAAAATAAAATAACTAGAACTTATTGACATAGACTAAAATAATCAAATTAAAATAAACAAAAATACAAAAGTCAATAGTTTATTTAGAGTGGAGGAGAATTCACTATTTGAAGTCAAGATTTAAAGATAATCACAAAAATAACAGTGTATTTACAAGTATAATATTACAAGTAAAAACTTTCTTATTTTTATTAGATCAGAACATGAGTTTCTAGCAATAGAGATTCTTCTTTTATATATTTTTAACAATTTATATAATTAATAATTATTTTAAACAACATTACTATTTACAAATAGTATTAAAAGAAGAATAAAAATCAAAAAATAAATAAGAAATTACACAAAATAATAAAAAATAAATATAAGAGAAAATTAATATAAATATTAGTAATTAAAAATACTATTTACAAATAGTATTAAAAGAAGAATAAAAATCAAAAAATAAATATGAAATTACACAAAATAACAAAAAATAAATATAAGATTAAATTAATATAAATATTAGTAATTAAAAATAAGAAAAATTATAAAATCATAGTAAAAGAAAGATTCTAAAGAAAAATTGATAACACAAAATAAATTATAAGAAAAAACAATATTAAAAATAAAAATAATAATAATAATAATAAAAATAAAATTAATATAATTCAAATTAAAAATATTTTTGTTGATAATAAAATATAAGATATATAATAATAAAAAGATTAATTTGAGAAACTAAAAAAAAATATAAAAGAAAATAAAAAATAAAAATAAAAGTTAAATATTATTATGATATGAAATTTAATAAATAATTTTATTAAATAATAAACATCTTATATCTTATTAATCTATAATTATTAATATTTTTATTGAATAGCTATTTTATTAGATATTAATATCTTAAATATTGATTCTTAAACTCATATTAATAATATTAATACTTAATAGCTAAAACTAAAATAATTATATTAAAGAAGTTTTGTGCTAAATTTTAATAACTTAATTTTGATACAGCTTCTTTTTCAGCTTCTTCAAATAGTTTTGCTATATTAACAAACTCTTGAAAAATATTTTCATTTGAAAAATAATCTATTTTTAAAGAATTACATGTAAATTTATTTTATATTGATATATTTTCTTTTTGTATGATAAATAATAATTTTTATTAGAATTTACTTTACAAATTAATTTATTGAATCAATTAATATATTATTTAATAAATCTAGTTTATTATAAACTTTCAAGTTCATCTTGCTATTTATTCAATTTTTATTGAATTCTAAATTGTTATTCAAAATAATATTTAATTATTACTAATTCAATTTTGTAAGATATCATTATTTAAATTTTATTATTTATCAAATCATAATATAACAGTATCTTCAAATAATTTATATTTTTTATTTATTGATAATTCTATTAACTAATATTACTACTTCAAAGTTTCTTAGTATTCTACTATATCTTGATCTCTATTTTTATATTTTTGAATTTAAATAATTATTTTCTTATTATTTTTAATATTTATAAGATAACTGAATCACCAAGTACTTCAATAACTTGTAGAATAATTATTATGATTATTTTATAATAGAATACTAAAAAATATAAATAGTTATCAAATTCAGATATAAAATTATTATTGCTAGTAAAGAAACAAGTTTATTTAGGACTATAAAGTAGATTACATTATTAAAATATCATAATTCACTATATAAAGTACTCTACACTGTAGAAAGTCAAACCTTGATTTAGTTCAATTTCTTTTTAGTAAATCAATTATCTTGTTTTCAAAATGAGCTTCTTTTGCTCTTTTTGCCACTTCTATAGTGTTTATAAGAGTTCTATCAGCATTTATTTTTACTTATTTCTTAAGTTCTGACTTTAATTCACAATGATATATTCTAACTCTATTATCATTGTGAATATGATTATCTGGATCTGCTTTACGAAGCAGTTCATAGAATTTATCAGTATATTCATCAACAGTTTCAGTTTGTTGTAGTTCTTCCAATTTATTACTCCATTTATTCATCTTTTGATTAGTGCAAAATTTAAGTATGACTGATATTTAAAATCATATTCATCATGACCAATATTTTCCCAGTTGTTTAAAATGAGAGCATTGTCTCTGGTTCTTTTATCAAACCAAATAGTAACAGAATCTTCCAGATATCCATGAACAATTTGAATTTTTCTTGCATTTGTAATTCCATTTGCTTCAGCAGCAACTTCAAAGTTTCTTAACCAAGTAACTGGATCTTGGTCTCCACCACAAAATTTCTTGATGGGTATGATAATCTTTTCAGTTGCTCTATTATTTT